GCAAACAAATGCAAAAATGTAAAAAATAATTAAACCTAACAAAAATTAGTCAACAAAACATTTATTTATGAACAAATAAACACAGACTTGATCGCGATAGGGGTCGATCGAGAATGATGGATCCTGGAGAAGGAACACTTTGAGCAATGATGGACCTTCGGCATGCTCCACCCGAGCAACTTTCATGAATCGTGTACTGCCCAAACTGGAAATTTCATTGGTTCGTAATATGTTCAAAGGAATTAATCTCATAACACGAAAATTTAATTTTTTCTAAACAATTGTGTACTGCCCAAGTTGAAATTTCACTGCAAGCTAATCCAAAAAGCTGATTTTTTTAAAATATGGCAAATTCAGTTTTTCTTTGAAATTTTGCGCACAACAATTCTTTATTGATATTAACTCAAAAATATGAATGTGACATCAAAATTTCATCCGAGTATATTAATTTTGATATAAATTCCGAAAAAAAATACTTCGTAAGTAGTTGTCTTTGCTAAAACTAACATAGTATCTATCGATTGTGAAAGTGATATTTTTAAATTTCATTGTATTCGCACCTCAACAAGCAAGAAATCCTATCAAAATTATTAAGTGAGGACAGTGGAATATCATAATTAATGAGGTAGGAAAAGATCAGCAGCGATCCGATAAGCCATGAAATAATGAATAGTAGAAGTCGCATGAAATACAGCGTATCTTCGATGAAGTACTACGATTCTGGTCTGATGACAGAGATATCATCAAGAAAATGTACAAGAGATACAGTGGGCTGAATGGATAAAGGGCTGAATGGACAGATGGATAAAGCGGTACCCAGGCAATGCTAAGGGGAGCAGAAAAGGTCGTTAATGTGCTGAAATGTCTATATGGAATTATGTGAATGAGAGAAGCTTAAAACAGAGGAGAATGGAGAAGTTGCCAGCCGAATCAGCGGCGAAAAGAAACAACAGTTTATCAAAGTCCCAATTCCAATCTTTTATTAATACTCATTCAGTTTTATGCGTTTTGTGCTGCAACAGTTGTACAAAAGGTTTAGCGTCGAGACCGTTGTATGTGTGTGCGCGTGTGTATGTGTATGTGTGTGCGCGTGCGTACGTGTGTGTGTACATGTGTGCGCGTGTGTATTTATTTCGAGTACATTTTTTTAATTAAGAACACAAGTGTTTCTGTTACACATGAATGTCTGACTTGCAACACATTCAAATTGACCCAAAGAAGACTGTTAGAGGAAAAAAGAAAAATTTCTACGCACTCAGAAAAATTTCCATTTTTTTGACGAACCTGGAATGGTAATAATGTCTACAAGGAATTATGTAAATGAGAGAGGCTCAAAACAGAGAAGAATGGAGAAGTTGCCAGCAGCAGCTGCAACAGTGGTGAAAAGAAACAATGGCTTATCAAAAATCCAATTCCTATCTTTTATTAGTATTTATTTAGTTTTTATGCGTTTTGTGCTGTAACAGCTTTACAAAAAAACATAATATTGAAGCATTGTCTGTACGTGTGTGTGTGTGTGTTTTGAATGTATTTTTTTAATTAAAAACACAAATGCTACTGTTGCACGTGAATGTTTCATTAACGATACATTCATAAAACAACGCATAGAAAATTATGGCTTACGGGACGAAGGAAGGGGGAAAAATACCCCCCTAAAGTACTCAGAAAAATTTTTATTTTTCTTTTGACGAACTGGAAATGTTAATAAATGTCTACATGGAATTATGTGAATGAGAGAGGCTCAAAACAGAGAAGAACGGAGAAATTGCCAGCAGCCGCATCAGTGGCGCAACGAAACTAAAACCAACGGAAATACCTCCGAAAATAGCACTAGTACTGTTCTAATACAGTGAAGATGGCCTAGTTCTTAAATGTA